TGATGTTCAGGCTTATCTTTAAGGAGTTGTTGTATCTTGCGGTGCCTGAGTGGCTCAGTTGGTTAAACGTCTGATGCTTGATTTCAGCTCAGATCATGATCATCCGGGATGGAGCCTGCTTAAGATTCTTTCTGTCTCTTTCTGTACCTCCCTTGTGTGCATGTGCTCTCTCGCTCTCTCTCTCTCTCTCAAAAAAAGTTGCTTTATCTTGTTTACTGCTGACGGTGTCAGGGTAAGGGTGCCCAGGTGTACTGCAGCTTTCTCTTGCTTACAGCTTGAACGGTGACCTAGAGTAATGAAGCCACATCCTCACCATCCTGGCACCTGGGTGCCTGGGGCTAGAGCTCAGTTACCTCAGCCTCTCTCCATGGACACATGTTGACCAGGATTTACTGCTGAATTGCATTAGCATTAAGTTTTCTGGCCATGTTATAAACAGTTGCTTACCTTTAAATTATATGCTATACTCTTTAATTTCTCATCAAGTTTCTTTTATCCCTTGTTTTCCTTTTTGTTGGATTTTTTTTTTCATTTTACTGTAACTCCATCCTCAAGAAGGCTCTCCAGAGTTTGAGGGTAACAAACTGAGTATATCCCAAACTGAATTTACTTTGATCACATTTGAATGCTAGTTTGGCTAGATGTCGGCTTTTTCAGCTTCTGAGTCATTTTCCAAGAGAACTTTGAAGATATTGCTCAGTTTTTTTTTTTTAAGGAAATGTTGACACACAATGTTATATTAGTTTAAGGTGTATAACAGTGATTTGACAAGTCTATAAGTTATTCTTGCTCAGTCGTTAATATTCAGTGTTGCAGATAATTAAGTTTGATGCTAATCATTCCATTTTTTGAAAAAATTTTTAAAAATGTTTTATTTATTTTTGAGAGAGAGAGAGAGAGAGAGAGAGAGACAGTGTGAGCAGGGGAGGGTCAGAGAGAGAGGGAAGGAGATACAGAATCTGAAAAAGGATCCAGGCTCTAAGCTAGCTGTCAGCACAGAGCCTGACATAGGGCTCGAACCCACGAACTGTGAGATCATGACCTGAGCTGAAGTCAGACGCTTAACCAACTGAGCCAGCCAGGCACCCCAATGCTAATCATTCCTTTTTTTCTCCACTCTCTTTCGGGCTTTAGGGTTTTTCTCTTTACTCATATATATCTAGATCATGAATACTATTTCTGTTTGAAGACGTTTGTCTCTCTTATAATCATTTTCTTTCATGCTCTTTGTAGAACTTCTAATAAATGAATCTCTTCTAATAAATGAAAGATCTCTTGGCTCTTTCTTCCAATTCTATTTTTTTTCATCCTTTTCACCTCTCTCTTCTTGCATTACATTCTAGGAGACCTTCTTGGCTTGGTTTTCATCTGTTCAGCTATGTGCATTTTGTTAATAAAACTATTGCTGAATAATTTATTACTATAAATATTTACTTATAAGAACTGTTGGTTTTTGTTTTCCTAATGGATATAATATTTCCTCAAATCTTATACATATCTCCTTTACTAAGTGTTTTCTCAGAAGTAGTTCTTCCACTTCTAGAGTGTGTGCTTTCTCCATGCTCTTGGTGATTCTTGGTTGTCTGAGTTTCTTGATGGGCATTTGGATGGTATCCAGTTTTTAGCTATTAGGAATTATACTACTGTGAATATTTGTGCATATGTTTTTGTATGGCTGCTTTCATTTCTCTTGGTTAGATATTTAGGAGTGGGATTGCTGGGTCATTTTCTAAGTATATGTTTAACTTTTTAAGACACTGCCAAAGCTTTGCAAAGTGGCTATACCATTCTATATTCCCACCATCAGTGAGGGTTCTTTTCTCTACATTCTCCTCAGTACTTGGCTTTTTTGACTATAGCCATTCTAGTGGGTGAGTGGGGATGTCTCACTGTGTTTTTAATTTGCATTTTGTTAATGACTGGTGTTGCTGAGCACCTTTTTATGTGCTTATCACCTTTCTTTAATCTTCTTTGCTAAGTTATCTGTTTAAATCTTTTCCATTTTTTGGTTGGGTGAATTTTTATTTGTAGTTACTTTTGATTTTGGCAACTTAAACTGCTATTCTAGTTATGATAGTGATATAAAGTTTACTTTAAAAATAGTTGGTTTTCAAAAAGTATACCAATTAAGTGAAATATATTAAGTAAACGATCACCACTTATCATTTTGTTGTGGCAAAAATTGTGAAGATGGCATAAATGTCTAAAAAAACACTTCTTCAAGGGTGGGTGTTACCCAGGGTCAATACTACCCCTTTTCTCATTCTCAGTATGTCTCAGTGATTTCATCTACCCTCATAGCTCCTGCCCTGTCCCTCTACTGATGTTGTTGAAGTTCACATCTCTAAGACCTGTATGTGAGGATCTGAATATACTGTCTGCTAGATGTTGTGAGGATACCTCACTAGCATTTCCAGGTCAATGTGTTTTCCTGACTGCTCCCCCGTCACAGCATTCCTTCCAACTTCCTTTTTTGGGGTTCTCACCATTTTATAGCCACAGAAGCTTAAACTCAAGAACTCAGTCTTACACATTTCTTTGCCTCTTTCTTTGCCTGTTCCTTAACTCAAAATGCCCCAAACTGTTTTTCTCACAAACCTGATGACTGTCAGAGTAAGACCCTCCCTATACACATGGCAACTCAAATAGCACCTTCCAAGTTCTAGATTCCTCTCTTTCCCTTACCTTCCGTGTTGTGTCAGTGATCAATTTACCTCCCACTTTTTAAAGATCTTTTGTATTTTCCTCCCCATTGCCATTCCTACCACCTTCCCCCAGATGAGAGATTCATATCTCTTCTGGATTTTTGTAATAGCCCTCTTATTAGTCTTATTGTTTTTAGTAATTTTCTCTTTCCTCACGGAAGCTTTCCACTGGAATAACCTTTTTCTAATACTGAACATGTCACTTCTCTTATCAAAATTCATCAGTAGGGAAAAAAAAGGAGTAGGAGATACAGGCTTCTAGTTATGGAATGAAGAAGTTTTGGGAATAAAAGGCACAACATAGAGAATATAATCAATGGTATTGTAATAGGATTGTATGGCAATAGATGGGAGCTAGTCTTGTGGTGAGCACAATATAACATAAAGTTATGAAATCACTGTGTTGTATACCTGCAACTAATATAATATGTGTGTAAACTACACTCAAAATATCTTAAAAAAACCCAAATTTGTCAGCAGAGAACCATTATTTATAGTAGTATTTCCCAACTTCATGAGTTTGCTGTAATCAAGAACTGACTTTACTGTTACTTACCAATTAATTTAAATGGATTCACTTACAGGTCAATAAATTTATTTTAAAATAAAATTTTGTAATACTACCATAAACGGAAAACTAGTTGATTAAAAATAAATATAAAATATGGGTTCCCTGGGTAGCTCAGTTGGTTAAACGTTCACTCTTAATTTCGGCTCAGGTCATGATCTCATGGTTTGTGGGATCGAGCCCTACGTCAGGCTCTGTGCTAATAGCGCCTGCTTAGGATTCTCTTTCTCCCTCTCTATCTGCCCTCCCCAGTTTATACTCTCTGTCTCTCTCTCTTTCTCAAAATAAATAAATAAATAAATATTAAAAAAGATAAAAAATGAAAGTAAGCGTAAAATAAACAAACACAAATTAGTGTTGAGTTGCTGGCTAAATACTGTATTGTTTGATAAAATTATTCTGATACTTATATTCTTTTTTTTTTAAGTTGGCAAGTGTTCAGGCATATTAGCCCAAAACTGAGATGTTGCCCATGATGTTACCAGAAGGGCTGAAAGATAATTGAAATGAGAATAATTTTCTCCTACTGTGATTTAGTGTTATTTAATACTACTTCAACATAAGCACTATATGTATTCCACTCATTTGGAAATACTACCTACAGAATTCACTTGAAATCCTTTTTGTGGCACATAAAGTTCTCTCTGTGCTTAGGGTATGTCCCTACTTTTCTCCCTTGCATTTTGTCCTTAGCAATTGGAACAATGTAAGGTTGTTATGAAGATTAAATGAGTTTATATGCATAAGGTGCTTAGAAGTAAGTGCTCCATAAATATTAGCTCTTGTTATTACTATCATTATTATTGTGTTTTTTCTAAGTAATGTGTTCTGCCTGCTTGAAAATACTGTCATGTATTCTTGGAATGTTTTCTCACATTTGTCTGCTCAGCTAATGCCCATTTTTTTCCTGCAAGTCTCAGCTCACACAGTCTTCCTCTGGCAAGACTCTCCTGAATTCCCCACTCTACTGTACCTTTAATACATTCCCAGTAAAACACCTAAAATATTCTCTTTGGTTCTGTGAGTGGTCTCTGTGGTCTGTAACTTCCTTTATGGAAGGGACTGCCTATTTTTGTTCTTTAACCCTAACACCTACACCAGTGTCCAGCTCACAGTATTTTTTAATTCAATAAATATGCATTAAGAGCCTTAGTACGCCACACCTTATGCTAGGCATGGATGTTACAACGATGAACAACACATGGCCTATCTCTTTGAGGTAGGAGTCTGTTGGAAACATATATGATGTGTATTTAAGAATTATGATTATTAATTTTGTATTTAAAAAGCCATGACAACTTAGTGAGATTCAAACATACATTCTTACTCCATAAGGCTAAGTCTCAAACCATTAAGCTGTGAGTCATACTAAAATTTTAAGTATTTTATCTCACATAGTTAATAGAGTGTGAGGTCTCTGATGCCAAAGACTATGTACCTTAGTATCTTTCTTCTCTCAGGGTACTTGGCATTCATTGTTTACCTCTGGTAAATACTTATTGACTTATAAGATTCAGAATTATTTGGAATGACATGGTGGCTATTGACTCTAGTATTGCACAAATTAAAAAAAATCACAAATGTAGTTAGCCTTGTAGCTGTGACTGAAAAACTAGGACAGTGGATGCTGATAAAAATGATAATTAGGATGAAATGTGCCAGTGTTAGCATGCTACAGTGGCTTTATTTGTATTACGTCTCTGCAATGAGTTTCTTCTTTTTTGTAGAATGTTTTTCAAGCTGGAAATAGCAATGCTGATTCGGGATTGGACTTTGAAGAATTTATGCAGTACCTTAAAGACCACAAGAAAAAAATGAGGCTGGCATTTAATAGTCTGGACACAAATAATGATGGTGTGTGTGTTTGTGTTTTATTCACAGTTAGCTTAACATGCATAGTAATTGTCAGTACTAAGGGATACTTTTTATTTACCAGCCTTTAACTTATTCCTACCATCAAAGATTCAGTTATTTCTATTATTTGTTTAGCAGTAATTTCTAAATATAGTAACTATATTTATTGGTGTTATAATTTTTGTGTGATTTTGAAAATTTTTGGTTGCAGGAAAGTTAGATAACATAGAAAAGATCCTAAAAGAAAGTAAAAGTTACTTGTAACCCTGCTGTGTAGAGAACAGGTTTGACAGATAGATAGATAGACAGATAGATATTTGTTTGTTTTTACTTGAGAGAGAGAGAGCACACTTGTGCATGTGCAAGCAGGGGGAGGGGAATAGAGAGAGGAAGAGAGAGAATCTCATGCAGGCTCCACACAGCACAAAGCCTGGAGTGGGGCTCGATCCCACGACCCATGACCTGAGCTGAAATGAAGGGTCAGACACTCAGCTGACTGAGCCACCCAGGCGCCCCTTGGTATATTTTTTATATTTCATTCTAGTCTTTTTATTTCTGTTTCTTTCTTCATTTCTCTTTCTCTCTTTAAATGAAATTGTAGTCACACTGTGTATATAGTTTGGTGCCCTACTTTTTTCTTTGAATGTTACCATGTAAGCATTTTCATTTCATTTAGTATTCTTCACAAACATAGTTTTTAATGACTCTGAAATATTCTATTTATGAATAGATGAATCATTCCTATATTGTGAGACATTTAGAATGTTTACAGTCTTTTATTTGTAGTGCTGCAATCAATATCCATGCTGATTTACAGCAGAAAGGTATATTTTGTTATAAACCCATAAGTCAGAAAGACTATAGGTAAAAGTAGAGCACGAGTTCTGCATCCATTTGTGGCTAATCCACCCCAGGTAATTAGAACCTAATTATATCCTATTTAAAAAACGTATGTATTAATTTTTTTAAGTTTTGTGAACTCTAGCTTTTGCTGATTGAAAAATTCTAACTGTACCTGAAAAGCTATTTAAAGAATTGTACTGATAGATTCTTGGGTAAAACAAAATGGAACCTGAATGTCACAGGTTTTAGTGAGCTGCGATACCCAAACTGCAGTGCTCCATGCTTCCATTCACTTTTCAGAAAGATGCTTGGGCCTTTCTGGGTCCTGCTACTGAAATAGTTCCCAGAAGCTTTAGAGGTACCACTTACTAATGTCTGTAAATTAGACCTGGTCATCAGTTGCTGCTGATGTTGGCCCAGTAGTTCTGTTCTTGTGCTATTCTGGAATTTCACTCTCTTACTGCTAGTTACCACCACGATCATCATTTGAAAGCTGAAAATCCACCGTGTCAGATATTCAGTGAAATTAGAGTATCATTAGTAAAAATACAGTGCTATCACTGTCTCTGGTAAAGCTTCAAATCACTGCTTGTAGCTCTTGTAGTAATAGAGAATACTTTTTCTGAGACAAGATGGAAATCTGAAAGTAATACAATGACTAGCAATACTGATATTTTAATTTCTGCCTTGGCTAGTCAAACAGCCCCCTAAGTCCTGAGAGTCATGGTCCCAGTTCGCACAGGCTTCGTGTGTCTCGAGTACCTGAGCTGCGACAGCTGGCATGGAGCTCTGCTGTAGGCACCAGGGCTCCTGCCCACCTGGCCTGCACAGCTGAGGCGCAGGAGCCCTGCAGGAGCGCCAGGTCTGACAGAGCTGCCTGCCCCCTGTGTCATCATTGTCGCTGCTTCAGTGACCAGCTTGCAGAGCTCAGCTGGTATACTTTGGCCAGCATGCTTTTTGTGTGTGGAAAGGGAGCACATCCTCTGGGATGGGTTGAGGTGTGTGCAGCCTAAAGAAGATATCTTGAAGTCCTAGCCTCCCATACTTCGGACTCTGTGACCTTTATTTGGAAACTGGTCTTTACGGAAATAATCAAGTTAAAATGATGTCATTAGGGTAATGGCCAATAGCCAATATGACTGGTGTCACATAGCGGGGAAGTGTGGACACAGAGGCACATATGCACAGAGGAAGATGATGTGATGTGGCCACACTTCTGGCCTTCAGAATTGTGAGACAGTAAATGCCTGTTCTAAACTATCCAGATTGTGGTAGTTGGTCACAACTGCAACCCCAGGAAACTCCTCTCCCCTGTTCTGCTTCATCAGGTGTCTGACAATATCAGAGTATTTGGGGCCTCAAAATACACTTTTCTCAATTCATATGAATTGAGTCACTTTCTTCCACAGTGTACACGCGCTTCCGAATTGGCTGGGATAGGGTAATTTCTGCTGTCAGGTGTGTGTCATTGACCCTGGAGCTGACATTTCCTTATGAATTCTATTACTGGAACTGGCTCACTGCATCAGACCTTCCCCCGCTTTTCCTTCCTGACATCATTGTTGCTGGTGGGACTCTCCCAGCTCATCACACATTATATTTGTTAAACATTAATAGTATACAGGATCCAATGTTTACCACCTGCTTTCTGTCCCCCAGGAGGCTTTCCAGGCCTCATGCCAATCAGTGGAGGCAAGAGGCTGCGCGTGGGCTGGTGTACTCTCAGACTCACTAGCAGCAGGAAGTGCTTGAGCCTCAGTGTAATCTGATCTATTTAACTTCTCTCATCAAGCAGTGTCTGAGCTCCTCTCAGATGTTCAGCCAAAATGCCTATGGAATGCTGTTGTAAAGATGTGAATGAAGTAATTATTGAACATAATTTTATCATTAAGATTATTTTTTAGACGGAGTTTTTTGGAGACTGAGGAAATGGTGGGAAAGGAACTAACATTTATTGGACTTTACCTCCTAGATCTTATTTTTGTCTCACGTAAGTCTTCATAGCAGCTGTTTTTCACAGATGGGAACACTGAGGGTAAGGAAGGTTAAATAATTTTGCTTTCCATTGGCTCTCCCAGTGAACCACATCTCCCAGGATTTATTCCTTTGTGTAGCTGTAAACCACGCAGACCTGTGCTTGGCCATTTGACTTGCTTCAGCCATTAGGATATTAGCAAGGCTTAATAAGTATTTGTACATTGGAACTTGCTCTCTTTAACATCTTTCTTTGGAATACTCTTTCTTGAACATTCTGAGCCACCAGAAAAGAGGTCTTAGTTACCCAGCTGGAGAGATCACATGAAGAGAAATGCTCATTTAGTAATCAATTATTTTACATTTCCATCTGAGGTAATAGACATGAGTGAAGCCATCTTGGATTTCTAGCTGTAGTTGAACCTCCAGATGATTGAATTCACAGGAGTGACCCAGGAGAGACCAGCAGAAGAACCAATGAGTTGAATCAAGCTCAGATTGCATACTCATAGTCAAATATATCCTTTTTAAACCACTAAATTTTGGAATAGTTTGTTACTTAGCAATAAATCATTGGTACAGGAATGGAATATTTTGCATTTTTCCCTGGAATTGCAATGCTGTAATGGTTGTGTTCCTTGTCTTCATCCATCTAACTATTGTTATTCCATTGAATTCATATGCTTGCTGCATATAATTAAAGACAACTTTGAATCTTTTTATTCGGTTCGTAGGCCTTGATTATATTCTGGATCACGCTATCTAATTTTTTCTACATCTTAGGTTGGATTTTTAACTTCCTTAGGGTAAAAATTACTTAATGTATTTTAGTTCAATGAAGCAAACAGTTTTTGAGCACTATATGTGAGTTACTGCACTAAGAACTGTGTGAACAAAGGTCTTCAGAAGCTCACCATTTTGGGTGAATTAAGAATAAACATACACAAGGCAGACTATGATCATTGTTATAGAAGCGATAGAAAGAGAGCTTAATTGTACCCAGGGACGCTTTAGATTTGTGCTAGATAGTACATAAACAGAATTGAAAAGAATGGGTTTCTTGAGCAGATAGACTAGTTTGAACAAAGGCAGAATTAGGAAATTGTCAGTTAGGGTCAGAACTGGTTAATATGGCATTTTAAGTTTGGCCCTAACTTGCTATTTTGGGGGGGAAATTTCATTGACATATATATAGCAATGTGCATAAATTCTAAGTAAAAGCTCTACACATTTTTTTGAAGCAAACACACAGCATGAAAACAGCATCCAGATTAAGAAGCAGAATATTTGTAGTACATTAGAAGCAACCCTTTTATATCCCTGCCAAATCACTACCACCCTCTAAAGTGTATTGCTTTTTAGTACTGTATGTAAGTCCTCAATCTTTGTTAAACAAGTAAGTGTACCTTGCTTATACTGTACCTTTTGCTGAAATGCTTTTGTTTTTCTTTGGTGGTCTCTTGTTTATCTAAACTTTATTGTACTTCATTTGTGACTTTTGTTTTTCACTACTTTATCCCTCCATTACACTTTACTCATAACTATCCTATAACATACATTTAGCACAGTGTGATATATTTTTGAAGTAAGTAGTTCATCTATACAAGCTGATAAGCTCCTCACATTTAGCCTAGTGATTTTAATAGTACGCTTTCAGAATATTTTTTAAATTATTGAATTAATGAACATAGTGTTTGGTGCTTGTAATGTGTTTTAAGGCAGAGGATTCAGTTACCCCAGTTGAAGACAAGTTTGATTTCTCGGCTGAGAAATGCTATGGTAGGTTACGTTCCCACCAGCAGTGCATGAAGGTTTCTGTTTCTCTACATATTGCTTGGTATTGTCCAGTTTTCTAATACTGGAATTAGAATTACTTTCACCCTGTGAAGATTGGAACAGTTAGGGGCCTTGGAATGATTGCAAAGAGTCTGAAATTCTACACATGAATACTGGGCTTTATCTGTAGGCTAAATAAATAATATGTCTCATACATATGTATACTATTTATAAATGTATGCAGATGCAGCTATGGTTCATAAAATATGCACTAAAGATGTGACTGAATTTATAGATTTTTGATGTTACATATTTTCACTTAGGTGACATTAAGTTGATTTTTTTAACGTGAAAATGTCCTCATATTTTAAAAGACTGAGTATCCTCAACTCTGTTTTACACAAAGGAGGAATCAAAAGATTTTTTGGACTTGGAGAGTAGCATGATGAGTTAATGTGTCTTAGAGTTTGAAGAGAATATGGAATACTTAATTTTTCCTTTATAACGTCCTGCAGTATGAGATTGAGATGCACAGTAGGCTTGTATTCAATATATCAATTGATTCGAGTTATTAACATAGGATACGGTTGTGTTAAAAAGAATTTGTGTTGGGGGCATCTGGGTGGCTCAGTTGGGTAAGTGTCTGACTCTTGGTTTCAGCTCAGGTCATGGTCTTGTTCATCAGATCAAGCTCCTTGTTGGGCTCTGTACTGATACCATAGAGCCTGCTTGGGATTCTCTCTCCCTCTCTCTCTGTCCCTCCCCTGCTCTTACTCTCTCTCTCAAAATAAAATAAACTTTAAAAAATGCACCTTAAAAAAGATTTTGTGTTGTATTATAATTTAGGTATGTTATTTCCTTTAAAATTTACCTTATAAAATGTTGAATGGCCTTATTTTCATACGCCTGAATCAGATCTTCAGAGTTAGATTTTAACTTCTTTCCAAGTAGGTATAATAATTTAGATCTGTTGTAGATCTATAATCTCTTATTGGAAATCCTAAGGGTCAGATGTGTTTAGAAATTTAAAATTTGGGGGGCGCCTGGGTGGCTTAGTCGGTTAAGTGTCCGACTTTCACTTAGGTCATGATCTCGCGGTTCGTGGGTTCGAGCCCCGCGTCGGGCTCTGTGCTGACTGCCAGCTCTGAGCCTGGAGCCTGTTTCAGTCTGTGACTCCCTCTCTCTCTGACCCTCCCCTGCTCACGCTGTCTCTCTCTCTCCTAGAAATAAATAAAACATTAAAAAAAAAAGAAAGAAATTTAAAATTTGGGTTTTAGAAAAGCAATACAGTATATGTATGGTATATTATGTGAATATTACAACTGGGGTTTGGGGTATCACCATGCAATTATATACATGAGTATTTCTTCAGTGAAACAAATGAATAATCATACAAAACCAGATAAATAATTAACTACCAAATGAAATTTGATGCCAAATTCACAAGAAGTCTTTTAGTTTTCAGAGCTTTTAAGCTTTGTGTTGTGAATATGAGATTATAGGCCTAAAAGACATGGACATTTATAGGCCTAAAAAACATGGACATTTTAAAGACAGTTATGTTCTGAGTATTTTGCCTTGTTATCTTTTCAGATACTTTAATTTGATGTTTTTCACTTTTTAAAGGAATAATAGAAACTTCAGAAATAATTACTGCTTTGAAATCACTGGGTATAAATATTTCTGAAGCTCAGGCAAACAATATTCTACAAAGGTCAGTTCTTATCCTTATTTTTTAACAGTTTTTATTTTTATTTAATTCCATGTTAGAAACTAATTGCTATATGTGTAGCGCCTTCCTTCCCCCCTGCCTCCCTTGTTTCCTGCCTCCCTCTTTCTTTTTAGGTTTGATAACATCAGCTTTTATTGACAGATCTGTAAGAAATTCATGGTATTGTGAGAATGCTGTTGATTCATAAAGTGTTTATTCTTCATAAAATCCCTAGAGTAAAATCCTGCCTGCTTTTAGCTCAAAGAACAGGTGTAATTCTCTTAAGCAATTGATTTAGAACATTTTATTTTTAATTTTTTCGACATACAAAAAACTGTACATTATTAATATACACAACTTGGTGAGTTTGGAGGTGAGTAAACACCTAGGAAGCCATTACCACAGTCTATGTCATAAACATATCCATCCCTTCCAAAAGATTCCTCCCACCCTCTTATTTACTACTATTATTTTTTCTGATAAGACTACTCTTTTGTAGTTAAAACTTCAATTCATTTTTTAATTGAGATATAACTGACATGAATCATTAGTTTCAGGTGTAGAATTTAATGTTTTGATATTTGCATATATTGTGAAATGATCATCACTATAAGTCTAATTAGCATCTGTTACCATACATAGTTACGTTTTTTTTTTCTATGATGAGAACTTTAAAGATTTACTCTCTTAGCGTGTTTCAAAATTATGCAGTATAGGATTATTAACTCTAGTTACCATGCTGTACATTATATTCCCATGACTATTTTATACCTTTTGACCTCTTTCACTCATTTCACTCATTCCCTAAACCCCTGCTTCTGACAACCTTAATTGTTCTCTGTATGAGGTTTGTTTTTTTTTTTCAGTATTTCACTTATAGGTGAGATCATATGGTATTTGTCCTTGTCTGACTTATTTCGCTTAGCAAAATTCCTTCAGGGGCCATCGTTGTTGTTTCAAATGGCTGGATAATATTCCATATTCCACGCCCGTTTGTGTGTGTGTGTCTGTGTGTGTACACACATACCACATTTTCTTTATCCATTCATCCATTGGTAGACACTTAGGTTGTCTCCATGTAGGAACAATTAACATAAATCTACTGTCTTAGCAAATTTTTAAATATCCAATAGAGCATTCTTACACTTAGTATTTATTCTTGGAGGATTTATTATAAATGTTATAAGTACTATTTTTGTTTTAAATTTCAGCATCGATAGTGATGGAACAATGACAGTAGACTGGGATGAATGGAAGTACTATTTTTTATTTAATCCTGCAACAAATATTGATGAAATTGTTCATTTCTGGAAGCGTTCTACTGTAAGACTGCTTTGTATTTTACTCTATTTTTATTTTGCCACAAATGCCGTAGCTGTTATTATGATAACATAATCCCTATAATACTTTCATCCTCCGTGGCTAAAATAGCAATATTCTCTCCTAATAATGTTCTACTAATTTAGCAAGGAGTATTAGTGTTACATGTACAAACGCAGCTACCAAAATTTCTTTGTTTGCTAAAACCTAGAACTTAAAGTATATACTCATTGCTGCAAGGGCGTACGTTGTGTTGACAATAAGTTACGCTGATATAGTTAACTGTTAGGAAAGTGGAAAAATAATATACTTTTATTTTTTCACAAAATGATGTACTCAGGTTTCTATTATAGGAAATGCAAAGTCAAACATTAAAATGCAAAATTTCAGAATCAGAAAGCACCAACTGTATAATCTATATATTCTTTAAGAAAATTTTTAAATGTTTATTTTTGAAAGAGAGAGAGAGAGAGAGAATGAGAAGGAGTGTGAGAGGGGAAGGGGCAGAGAGAGAGGGAGACACAGAATCTGAAGCTGGTTCCAGGCTCTGAGCTATCAGCCCAGAACTGGATGTGGGGCTTGAACTCACGGACCACAAGATCATGACCTGAGCCGAAGTTGGACCCTCAACCAACTGAACCACCCAGGCACCCCCTACCTATTCTTTTTATATAAGTACTTGACTCAGTTATGAAGAACAAATGAGGTTTCAATATTGAAAATATTTTTTTTCCTTTTTTAGACCTCTGATGCAGAGGGTTAAGTTAATCACTTATTCATGGTATACTATTTGCATCCTCTTCTCCATAGACAACATAGGGGAGGACTAAATGTTACTTATTATGATAGGCACTTATTCTAATATATTCCATTTGTGTCTTGGATATGTATATATTCTTAGGAATCATGTAGTATTTCAAGTGTGTGCTTTGAATTTACATAGATAGTATTCTGCTAAAGGCCACAGCTGATTTCTTGCTTTGTTCACTTAATATTATGATTTTAAGGTCTGTCCTTGTTTTTATGCACTCATCTAGTTTGTTGTTTCTAACTACTACATACTATACATTTAACACATCTTTACCAACTTCCCTAGTAGGAGACATCTAAATTTTCTCCAACTTCAAAAAAAATGCTTTTCTTTTTTGTATCTTTGGGAATTTCACCTGGATTTCTGAGTCAAAAGGAATATGCATTTGCAAATTTCAGTAGGTTATCCACTTTTAATTTTATAAAATATAGCCATGTTATGGGGCACCCGGGTGGCTCAGTTGGTTAAGTGACTGACTTCCGCTCAGGTCATGATCTTGCAGATCATGGGTTTGAGCCCTGTATTAGGCTCTGTGCTGACAGCTCAGAGCCTGGAGCCTGTTTCAGATTCTCTGTCTCCATCTCTTTATGCCCTCCCCCCACTCACACTCTGTCTCTCAAAAAATGAGTAAACATTAAAAAAAATTTTAAAAATATAGCCCTGTTATTTCCCAGAATATGAATGCTATGGTAGGTTACGTTCCCACCAGCAGTGCATGAAGGTTTCTGTTTCTCTACATATTGCTTGGTATTGTCCAGTTTTCTAATACTTTCCACTCTGTTGGGTATAAAGTGGTATCTTCTTTTAATGTGCATTTCTTTGATTCTTAGTGAATTTTAAACATCTCCTCATAGAAATACTAGAGATTCACTTGTTCTGTTCTATGACTTATCTACTTCTATCCTTATCTCTTTTCTCAAGATTTGTTGAGATATAATTGACATGACAGTGTGAAAGTTGGGGTGTACAACATGGTATTTGATACACTTATGTATTATAAAATGACTGCCACAGTAGGGTTAGTTAGCACCTCTATTACCTCACATAATTATCATTTCTTTTTTGTGGTGAGAACACTCATAGCAACTTGCAAGTATAAATACAGAATTAACTATAAGCACCATGCTGTACATTAGATCCCCAGATTTAGTCACTTCGTAACTTTGTCCTTTGACCAACATCTTCTCATTCCCCTAACTCCCCAGCCCTTAGCAACCACCATTCTACTGTCTGTTTCTATGAATTTGGCTTTTTTAGATTCCATATATGAGTCCATACAATACTTGCCTTTCTCTGTCTGACTTATTTCACTTAGCATAATCCCCTCGAAGTCTGTCTATATCGTTGCAAATAGCAGGATTTGCTTCTCTCTGAATAATAATCCAGTGTGTGTGTGTGTGTGTGTGTGAGCGTGCGCACGCGCGCATGCACCACATCGCCTTTATCCATTCATCTGTAGGTACACTTAGGTTGTTTCCATAACTTGGCTATTGTGAGTAGTGCTTCAATGAACATGGAGGTACAGGTATCTTTTTGAGATCCTGATTTCATTTTCTTTGGCTTTATACCAAGAAGTCAAATTTCTGGATCATATGACAGTTCTGTTTTAATATTTTGAGGAGCCTCATACTGATTTCCATAGTGGCTGTGCCAGTTAAATTCCCACCAACAGTGCAGAAAGGGTTCTCTTTTGTCTACATCCTCACCGACACTTGTTGTCTGTTGTTTTGTAGGTAGTAGCCATTTTAACAAGTGTTAGGTGATATTGTGAATTTGATTTGTGTGTCCCTAATGTGGACCATCTTTTCATGTACACACTGGCTATTTATATGTTTTTTTTTTAAAGAAATGTCTGTTTTGTTCTTTTGCCCATTTTTCTTCGTTAGAGTGTTTGTTATTGAGTTGTATAAGTCCCTTATGTATTTTGGTTATTAACCTCAAATCAGATATATGATTGTTTCTTTTACTGTGTAGAAGCTTTTAAGTTTGATGTAGACCCACTAATTAATTTTTGCTTTTATTACTTATGCTCTTGGTGTCATATCCAAAAGGTCATTGCCAAGACCCATGTCAAGGAGAGTTTTCCTTGTTTTCTTTAAGGAGTTTTACAGTTTCAGGTCTTATTTTAAGTTTTTAATCCATTTTGAGTTTATTTTTCTGAGTGGTGTAAGGTAGGGGTCCAATTTCATTCTGCTGCATGTGATTATCCAGGTTTCCCAGCACCTTCTTTGAAGAGGCTACCCTTTCCCATTGAATATTCTTGGCTCCTTTGTCATATGAATTTGTATGTGAGGGTTTATTTCTGGGTTCTCAGTTCTGTTCCATTAGCTTATGTGCCTCTTTTTCTGCCAGTATCATATATTTTCATTATGATAGCTTTGTAGTATTGCTTGAAATCAAGGAGTATGATGCTTTGTTCTCTTTCAGGATTGCTTTGGCTATTTGGAATTTGTGTTTCCATATGTATTCTAGGATTTTTTTTCCCTATTCTGTGAAGAATGCAATTGCAATTTTGATAGGGATTGCATTGAATCTATAGATGGTTTTGGGTATATGGACATTTAACAATATCAGTTCTTCCAGTCCATGAGTATGGTATATCTTTCCATATATTTATGTCATATTCAATATATTTCATCAGTGTCATTGAGTCTTCAGTTTGCGGTTGCTTACCTCCTTGGTTAAATTTATTCCTAAGTATTTTATTGTTTTTGATGCTATTATAAATGAGTTTGTCTTCTATATTTCTTTTTCAGATATTTTGTTGTTAGTGTATAGAAATGCAACTGATTTTTATATATTGATTTTATATCTTGTAACTTACTGATTTCATTGATTAGCTCTAACAGGGTTTTTTTTGTGGAGACTTTGGGATTTTCTATATATACAAAGACAATTTTACTTCTTTTTTTCTGATTTGGATGCCTTTTATTTCTCTTTTTTGCTCAACTGCTGTGGCTAGGACTTTCAGTATTATGTTGAATAGGATTGGTGAGAAGAATGATCACATTGTCTTGTTCCTGATCTTCAAGGAAAAACTTCCAACCTTTAGCCATTGAGTATTATGTTAGTTGTGAGATTGTTAATATGGTCTTTAACATGTTGAGTTATATTCATTCTATACCCAAGGTTTTGATAGTTTTTTTTAAACTAGTTTATTTTTAAGTTCGTTTCCATATAATACCCAGTGCTCATCCCCACAAGTGCCCTCCTCCATGCCCATCACCCCGCTTCCCCTCTCCCACACCCCCATCAGCCCTCAGTTTGTTCTCAGCATTCAAGAGTCTCTCATGGTTTGCCTCCCTCCCTCTCCCCAACTATTTTTCCCCTTCTCCTCCCCCATGGTACTCCATTAAGTTCCTCCTAATCCACCTATATGTGCAAACATATGGTATCTGTCCTTCTCTGCATGACTTATTTCACTCAGCATGACATCCTCAAGTTCCATCCATGTTGCTACACATGGCCAGATTTTATTCTTTCTCATTGCCATGTAGTATTCCATCGTATAAATAAACCACATCTTCTTGATCCATTCATCTGTTGATGGACACTTAGGCTCTTTCCATGTTTTGGCTATTGTTGAGAGTGCTTCTGTGAACATTGGGGTACATGTGCCCCTATGCATCAGCACTCCTGTATCCCTTGGGTAAATTCCTAGCAGTGCTATGGCTGGGGAGTTCATAGGGGAGTTCTGTTGTTAATGTTTTGAGGAACTTCCGCACTGTTTTCCAGAGGAGCTGCACCAGTTTACATTCCCACCAACAGTATAGGAGGGTGCCTGTTTCTCCACATCCTCGCCAGTGTCTATAGTCTCCTGATTTGTTCATTTTAGCCATTGTGACCGGCTTGAGGTGATATCTCACTGTGGTTTTGATTTGTATTTCCCTGATGATGAGGGACGCTGAGCATCGTTTCATGTGTCTGTTGGCCATCTGGATGTCCTCTTTGGAGAAGTGTCTGTTCATGTCTTCTGCCCATTTCTTCACTGGACTATTTGTTTTTCAGGTGTGGAGTTTGGTGAGTTTCTTAAAGATTTTGGATACTAGCCCTGTATCTGATATGTCATTTTCAGCTATCTTTTCCTATTCTGTCAGTTGCCTGTTAGTTTTATTTGATAGTTTTTTTTTTAATCATGAAAGGATGTTGAATTTTGTTAAATGCTTTTCTGCATCTATTGAGTTGATCACATGATTTTTATCCTTAATTCTGTTAATGTGATGTGTCACATTTTTTGATTTGTGTATGTTGAGCCATCTCTGCATCCCAGAAATAAATCCCATTTATCATGATCCTTTTAAATGTTCTATTGAATTCTATTTGCTAATATTTTATTGAGATTTTTGCATTTATATTCATCAGAAATATTGGCCTATAGTATTCTTTTTTTTGTAGTGTCCTTGTCTGGCTTTGATATCAGGGTAATGCTGGTATTGTAAACATGAGTTTAGAAGGTTCTATTCTATTCAGGTTTTTAGTAGAGTTTGAGAGTGATTGGGTGTAAGTTTTCTTTAAGTTTTGGTAGAATTCACCAGGGATACCATCTAGTTGTGGGCTTTTCTTTGTTGGGAGACTTTTGATTACTGATTCAATCTGCTTTCTCATTGGTCTGTTTACATTTTCTTTTTCTTCATGATCCAGACATGGTACATTGTATGTGCCTAGAAACTTATCCATTTCTTCTAGATTATGCAACTTATACGTGTATATTGTTCATAGTAGCATCTTATGACCAACCCATTGTATTTCTGTGGTATCCTTTGTATTGTCTCCTCTATTTCTTCTTTTTCTTTAAAAATTAATTAATTAATTAATTAATTATTTTTATTTCTGAGAGAGAGAGACAGTGTGAACAGGGGAGGGTCAGAGAGAGAGGGAGACACAGAATCTGAAACAGGCTCCAGGCTCTGAGCTGGCTGTCAGCACAGAGCCCGATGCAGGGCTTGAACCCACGAACCGTGAGATCATTAGTTAGTTTAGCTAAAGACTTGCCAATTTTGTTTATCTTTTCAAAAAAACCAGCTATTAGCTTTGGTGATTTTTAAAAAAATTTTTTTGGTCTCTATTTCCTTCATTTCTGCTCTGGTCTTTATTATTTCTTCTAACTTTTGTCTTAGTTTTCTTTTTCTAGTTCTTTAAGGTTTAAATTTATATTGAGGTTTTCCCTGTTTCTTGAGGTAGGCCTGTATCACTGTGAACTTCCCTTTAAGAACTGCTTCTGTTGCATACCATAAGTTTTGGTATGTTGTGTTTCCATTTTCTTTTGTCTCAAGATTTTGTTTTGATTTCCTCTTTGATTTAATCTTTGACCCATTCAGAGGCTTTGTTCTCTTCCCTTATCTCCTTTATTTTTTGTATTTAAATATCCTGCCTTTAAACACAACATTTAAAATCTTTATGTCCGTACCATTAAAAAAAAGTATAATCCTACTGCTGTTCCCTCTAGCTACCTTATCTTTTTTACTCTCTTCATAGCTATACTTTACATTCACTTCTTAACTAACTGACTTTGCTTTCACCACTTTATAAAAATGAGTTTACCAAGCCAGTCTCCCAAATGTTAGTTCAGTGGATATTTTCTAGATCTTACCACTCTCTCTTTTAAGTATGCTCTTCAGCTGGCTTCCTTGACACTGCATTCTCCTGGTTTTCTTCCTACTTCTCTGTCATTACTTTTCCATCTCCCTTGAGGATTTTCTTCCTCAGTTTTGTTTCTTATATGTTTTCTTCTATGTTCTATTTTAAGCTTTTTTACTCTCATTCTGTACATTTTTTTCTAGGCAGTCCCACTTTCTCTTCCTTGTTGAACTACCAGATGTAGGCCAATTGATTGCTTTAAATCATATGTCTGTGAGCATACCTTCCTTCTGCATGTGCAAGTATTTATTGGACATCAATGGGGACATCTCAAACACACACACAACATCATCTGTCCCCTAGACCTTCTTTTTCCATTTCACTGAATGGTGTCATCACCTTCTCAGTTGCCCAAGCCAGAAATGTCAACATTATTCTGAGGTCTTGTGCTTTTCTTTACTCTCTTTCCATCCCTATAGACAGTCTTGCAGTTCTTAGAATGTGTAATGTCTTTGAAGGAATTATTTCCTTTGTCTAGAACATTCCCTTGGTTAATGCCTACTTCTGTAGGGAGGTAGTGGAGTGTGATTGACAAGAAGGTAACCTTTGAGGTCAGAATACCTGGATTCATATTGCTTTGCTACTTCTAAGTCACTTTATGTGGAAAATGTTCCCTGACAGTTTCACTCATCTCTCCCCACAAAAATAAAAAATTCTACACTCCATTCAGTGCCTCTAAAACATTTTTTTGCTACCCTCGTTATTGCACTTATTCTTCTATATTATAATTGCTTGTTTCTTTTCCTATCTTTCTCATTATACTACAAACTCCCAGAGGGAAGAAACTAACTTCTACATCATAATATTATGAATACACAGCCCAGCACTTGGCATGCTAATTTATTAATTCAACACCTGTTTACTGAGCACACTTATCTCCACAGACCAAGGTGCAAGGTTGACAACAGTGCGCAAGAAAGACGAGTTTGCAGCTCTTATCAGGGTTACTTTTAAAGGAGGAAGCAAGCAATAGATAGAAATGAACTAATTAAGATTGTGCTAAGTGTTAGAGAACTGTTGTGTGGCAAGCACTGTGGTGTGTGACTAGGACATGATAACTGCACTGAGTATGTACCTTTTTCATGGACGAGATTAATCTAAATCATTTTATAACTTAAAATTAATAACTCTAGGGGCACCTGGGTGGCTCAGTTGGTTAAGCATCCAACTTTGGCTTGGGTCATGACTTCACAGTTCATGAGTTCGAGCCCCGCATCAGGCTCTGTGCTGAGAGCTCGGAGCCTGGAGCCTGCTTCAGATTCTGTGTCTTCCTTTCTCTCTGCCCCTCCCTTGCTCACGCTCTCTCTTTCAAAAATAAACAAACGTTAAAAAAATAAAAGAAAATAATAACTCTAATGGGAATTGATTTTACAGATTTTAAACCTGTATGTGAATGTATTATTAAAAATCATTTGGTCTAGTACAAGTCCTGAGAAAATTGTAGTCTTCATTAATGGAGGTGAGATATGAAAAAAAATCTTTGGGATTTTGGTCTTTGTAAAAAGTTATCTTTTTAATTTATCAAGTGTTTATACTTCTTACTGTGTAATTCATTTTTATATCGTATCAGATAGTTGACATAGGGGAGAGTATATCTATTCCAGATGAATTTACTGAGCATGATAAGCATTCTGGAGATTGGTGGAGGCGTCTGGTGGCAGCAGGTATAGCTGGAGCAGTCGCAAGAACGTGCACGGCACCTTTGGACCGCTTGAAAGTCATGATGCAGGTAGATTGCACTCTTTACCCCTTAAGCATTAACATGACTTGAAAAGCCCTCCATAATTTTCAAAAAGAAATGTTTTGACACATCTCATACTATTTCTCATTAAAGTTTTACATCTTTCTGAAAATGTAAATTTTCTTATTTCAATATTAAAAGATTTCCTAATTTTCTTAAAGATGCTTGTGTGCTACTTAAATTAATTTTTATTGGAAATAATAATATAACACTCTGTTAGAAGTTTTTTTCCCAGAAAAAAAATGATACTTCACAAATTATTTTTATTTTACTGAGTAATGGGATTGTCAATGGTAGTTTTAAAATGGTGCATAGTTTAGTCTGTTAATTGTCATAATTCAAATTTAACATTTGCCGAATACTTTCTTTGCAAGGATACAAAAATTAATAGTTGACAATCTAGTGAGTTTAAATTTATAATTAAACTTATATACTGGATGTTGTATTGTCTTTTGTGTTTTTTGGTAACATTGGTGACATTTGGTAATGTATTATGAATAGTTTTTTTTTGGTTCGTGTCTGATCTTATTTATTTGTTGCTCTTAGAAAATCTTACTTCTGACAGACTCAGATGTAGAGGTAGGAACTCTCAGAGGGGATAGCCTCCATCTCCTGACAGTCTGTTACTGCTTTTCCTTTGGCTTCCTTCCTTCTCTTGGCCAAAAGTTTAGAATATACTATGGCCTCTTCGTTATTTTTCTGTTTTTCTTATTTTTATGCTATCTCTTCAGAACCATCACGTGGAGCAGTTAGATGCTGAATCTTGGGGATTTGGGTCCTGAGTTTTGTGCCCTCTTTGTCTAGGGGCTTTCTGACAACATATTGGTGGACATGATCTTCTGCAGAGAGATTGAAAAGTTTACAGATCCTGCTAGCTCTTATGTGTGCTAGGTGATGAGGCACAGTGGTATCAGCCTAGAAATATCCTCCCACTTTTCTACAATAACCAAGTTGGGAACACTCTGATCTGTGTCCACAACGCAACCCTGAACAGATTTGCACTTTCCTTCTCCAGCTCTCCTGCATCTATATCTGGAATGCCCATTACTCAGGAGAAGTGCTCACTTTATGAATAGTTTATATACTGTTTTTTGTCTTTGTGATGAACAGGATAAGATGAACATGTTTTCATGTTATTTCAGATACTCTTCAGATATTTCAAATGTTTGTGTATTCCTCAAATACAGGTTTTAATGACTGTATTATTTCAAGTAGATGTGCCTTATTATTTTAGTTTTTTTTTTCCTATTCTTGGACATGTAGGTCTTTAAACCTCTTTAAAAATTATAATTCATAATAGTTCATAATGATGAAAATAACTGTTTATGAATCTTTTTTATAGTATTTAAGATTAGAAAGAGTTCCTAGAAATTAAGTAATGATATGAACATTAAAAAGCTAGTGTAGGTGCACATGCATAGTGTTAAATTCTTTTCCAGACTTCTTCCCATCGGAGATGGGAATGCCCATTTTGCCTTGCTCTCCCTTTATTATTCTCTTATAGCCAGGAGGGTATTTTACCAATGTTTTAGTTTTCACCTTCTTAAAAATAACATTTTTCTTATTATAAAATAAAACATTAGGAAAATGAGAAAATACAGAAAAGTATAAAGAAAGACATTAAAATGACCTGTAATTCTAGTGTATTAGTTTTCAGTGATGCTGTAACAGGATATCACAGACTGGCTTACACAACAGAATTTTATTGTCTCACAGTTTTGGAGGCTAGAAATCTGACATCAAGGTGTTGGCATGGTTAGTTCCTTCTGAAGGCACTGAGGAAAGGATCTGTTCCAGGCCTCTCTCCTTGGCTTGGAGATGACTGTCTTTTCTCTGTGTCTCTTCACATTGTCTTCCCTCTCTACATGTTTCTGTGTCCAGATTTCCTCTTTTTATAAGGATACTAATCATATTAGATTTTAGAGCCCACTTTAAGACCTTACTTCAATTTGATTATCTCTATAAAGATCCTATCTTCAAATAAGGTCACATTCTGAGGTAATGAGCATTGGGACTTGAATGTATAAATTTTAGGGGATGCAGTTGAACCCACAACACCTCGCTACCCAGAAGTATCCACTTTTGAAAGTTTGACATATTCTCATCCGTTCCTTTTTCAGTACATATTTCAGTGTACTTTTTAATAATCTTGTAATATATTAGCAGAACACATTATTTTTTATTTTTTTTTTATTTTTTATTTTTTGTAATGCTTCATATCTTGACTGTATCAATGTCAACATCCTGGTTGTGATATTGTACTCTAGTTCTGCAAGTTACAAGTGGGGGGAATTGGGAAATGGGTCCATGAATACCTATGTATTATTTCTTTTTTTTTTTTTTTTGTGACTCCATATACTTTATTCTATTTTAAGGATATACACACTTAAGTATAACTAAAAATTGACTTTTCATATCTTATTGTATACATATTAAAAAAACTATTATTTTAAATCTATCCAAGATTTATAATACATTAGGCATCAGAAGAAGGTAGGAAAAAGAACTGAATGAACTAGAGTGAATTGTCCCTATCTATAAATAGGATGGCTATATCATTTATCATCTATACCAAGATATTTTTTTTCTTTGAATTAATATTTTTTTTTTACAAATAGTTTATTGTCAAATTAGTTTCCACATAACACTCAGTGCTCATCCCCAAAGTGCCCTCCTCCATGCCCACCCCCCCCATCCATCAGTCCTCAGTTTTTGTCAGCATTCAAGAGGCTCTCATGGTTTGCCTCTCTCCCTTTCCCCCACCATTTCCGCCCTTCTTCTCCCCCTTGTTCCTCCGTCAAGTTCCTCCTAATCCTCCTATACGTGCAAACATATGATATTTGTCCTTCTCTGCCTGACTTATTTCGCTCAGCATAACACCCTCAAGGTCCATCCATGTTGCTACACATGGCCAGATTTCATTGTTTCTCATTGCCATGTAGTATTCCATGGTATAGATAAACCACATCTTCTTGATCCATTCATCTGTTGATGGACACTTAGGCTCTTTCCATGTTTTAGCTATTGTGGAGAGAGCAGCAACACATTTTATGTGTGCAAATATTTTCTGGTAAGTCATTCCTGTTTCCTTTAAGTTGTTCTTTTCTTTGATACATGGGATTAAAGTATGTATTTGGGAAAACAAAAAAATTAATATATCAATTTTATATGTTTCCAAAGAAAATGGTGTTGAAGACCATAGATATTTATATTTATATATCATTATTAGCAATAATAACGTCAATGTCGTATTACCAGCAAAATAAATTAAAAAATAAATTTCCTGTTCATTTCTAGGTTCATAGTTTAAAGTCAAGGAGATTGAGATTGATTGGTGGGTTTGAGCAGATGGTAAAAGAAGGAGGAATTCGTTCTCTTTGGCGGGGTAATGGCGTAAATGTTTTTAAAATTGCGCCTGAGACAGCACTCAAGATTGGGGCCTATGAACAGGTAAAATGTTACTGCCTGTAAAATTTTATGATAAAGATCAGATTTTAAATTTAATTTAAAAATTTAGACTTTCATGGGAGAGAAAACTGGAATGTGCACAAGCAATAGATATCATTGCGTAAGTACAGGCATGCCTTGAAGATCTTGTGGGTTTGGTTCTGGACCACCTCAATAAAGTGAGTCACATCCATTTTTGGTTTCCCAGTTCATGTAAAAGTTATGTTTACGCTATTCTGTAGTCTGTTTAGTGTGCGACAGCATTATATCTGAAAGAAAAACCTATGTATGCACTCTAAGTAAAAGTACGTTATAAGCATCATCTGAACCTTTAGTGAGTTCTGATCTTTTTGCAAATGGAGGGTCTTGCTTCCATGGGTATGGCTGCTGACTGATCAGGGTGGTGGTTGCTGAAGGGTGGGGTGGCTGTGGCAATTTCTTGAAATAAGACAACAGTGAAGTTTGCCTCATTGATGAACTCTTCCTTTCACAAACATTTTCTCTGTAGCATGTGATTCTGTTAGTATTTTACCCACAGTAGAACTTTTTATGAACTTGGGGTCAATCCTGTCAAACCTACCACTGCTTCATCAACTAACTTTATATAATAGTCTAAATCCTTTTTTGTAACAGACTCCACAGCGTCTTCACCAGGAGTAGATTCCTTCTGAAAAAGAAAAAAAAAACCCACTTTTTTGTTCTTCTATCAGAAGAAACTTTATCTGTGAAAGTTTTATAATGAAATTGCAGTAATTCAGTCCCGTCTTCGGGTTCCACCTCTAATTCTGGTTCTCTTGCTGTTTCTACCACACCTGCAGTTACTTCCTCCACCGAAGTCTGGAACCTCTTCTTCCAAATGCCTGTTAGTGTTGATATTTTCACCTCTTCCCATGAATCATGAAAGCCCTTAATGACATCTAGAAAGGTGAATCCTTTCCCGAAGGTTTTCAGTTTACTTTCTGTGGTTCTGTCAGAGAAGTCTATGGCAGCTCTAGTCCCCTGCTGTCAGCTCTGAGACAGTCATCTTTGGGTCTTTCAACAGGGACTCCCTTATTTTAGAAATAGTCTATTGGTAGGTTCTCCAGTCATGATAAAATTCATTGTAATATTTCCACCTTCCTGAGTCTACGAGTCTCTTCCTCAACAACCTGTCAAAGACTTTGGCATCTCCACCTTATTTACTATCAGCTACAGTTGTGTCCAAGCTTTAAGGAGCAGTCCCAGTAGCATATTAGGACAGGCTTTAGGAGTTTTGTGTCATGGGAGAGTGTTCTACATCAATAAAATCTTCCTTATCCAGCATTACATTTCACCTCTCGTATCCTCACCATCAGTACTCTTGTAAACCACTCTCACACTGTTCCCCTGGTTCCTTCCAGTCCATAGTAGCTGGGTCCTTGGGCTATTTGAGGACTGACCCCATGTAAGTTACTGGTTGGGAGGCAGTAAGAGGTGGTGGTGGGTGGGACAGACTGTGGGAAGAGCAAACATCCTCTTGTAAGGCATCTGCCTTTTTGAGGCCTTTACATGGCCGCTGGGCAAAGAGAAGCTGCTCTGCTCTAGCAGTGGGAAGGGGATAACTTTTTGTTAAATTGGAGGGTGCTAAGAGACTCCACTTTCTAGGCATATACATCCAAATGTCCCCATCCCATGTGTCAGGTCCTACTTCTTCCCAGCGAGAGTCTTCACTTTACCATAGGAGACCTTTTGAGGCTCTACATGGTTTCCTTAAAAACTCTGTTACCTTTACATTTATATCCTGGGCCTGATTTTTAGATGTCTATGAGGATTTCTTTAAATGCTCATATGAAGGCCTTACAGTGTACATAATATGATTTAAGGTGATAATTAGCTGACCTAACCTTGACATTCTCTTCCTTCAAAGTATCTAAGACATGGGGCTCCTAGGTGGCTCAGTTGGTTAAGCGTCCGACTTTGGCTCAGGTCATGATCTCATGGTTCGTGGGTTTGAGCCCCACATCGGGCTCTGTGCTGATGGCTCAGAGCCTGGAACTTGCTTCGGATTCAGTGTCACCGTCTCTCTCTGCCCCTCCCCTACATGTACTCTGTCTTCCTCTCTCTCAAAAATAAATAAACATTAAAGAAAGTATCTAAGACAGGGTGAATCTCCAAATTCTACACTTGAAACTAATACCACACCATATGTTAGCTAGCTTGAATTTAAATAAAATCTTGGAAGGAAAAAAATAAGAAAAAAAAACCAAAACCCCCAAAGAACAAAGTTTCTAAGGCAATGAATCAGAGGCAGCCACCTCCACAATCCTTTTTATTATTTAATTAACATTATAAACTTATAAACGATATATTTCATTTTGGTAATATTATATATTTCAATACTTTTATTTATACAGTATAAAAAATGGCTTAGTTTTGATGGTGCGAAAATAGGAATTATTGAGAGATTTGTATCTGGCTCATTGGCTGGTGCAACTGCCCAGACCTGTATTTACCCCATGGAGGTATGTATTGTTATAAAATTGTAAGTAATGTTTTCAGTACAAATTATAACTTTTAAAATAAACACACCCTAGATCAGTGATTTTGTACAATAAACAGCTTTATAGCTACAGGATTTAAATACTAGTGTTAGTTGGACCTAGTAAATATTTTCTTTTGTTTGTTTATTTAGGATCAAGGTAGTATTGTAGATGTATAAAGAAGTTAAAAAATTTAATTGATTGATTGATTGATTGAATCACTGAATCAATAGTCAAGTCAAATCTGTATTGCACAGTCAATAAGTTTTAGGTATTTTTCTAGATCCAGAGACAAGTCAGTCATTTTGGTGATGGAACCTACAGTCTAGAAGAGGAGATAAAAATGTACATCAATAATGATGATCCAAAACAAAAAACATAAATTCTAGAAGAGAGATCAATATGAAGTACTATGGAAATTTAGGGGGGAGAAATTATTTCCAGCTAGTGATTTCATGAAAGATATGAATAGAATATGTGAGTTTGGCTTAGATTTTGGGCATTCAGAGATAATGAGGAAGAGCATTTTAGGTGGAAACAATGACGTGAGCAAGGGAATGGAGGCAAAAGAGCAGATATTTAGGTTTGGACTGGACACTGGATAATATCATGAATAACGGGTTAGGGCCAGATCAGAAAGGCTCTTGAATGCAATGTAAGAAACTATAATTTTAATTTCTTAAAAAATAAGAAGCCAGTAAAGACTTTGGAAGCTGAAATACAATCTTGGTAAAGTTTTCTACAGTGAGGGAGACGTGAGATGACTGTATACAAGATACTGCCATCATTCAGGGAGTGATGGTAAAGGCTTGGAGTGTGACATTAACTGGAGGAAACTGACCCCTGTTAGGGCTGTCGCAAGAACTGACAGCCTGAGATGCAACAGAAAGGAGAGAGAGAAAGGAAGAAGGTGAAGCTCTGTCTGGGTTCTGTGCCTAAGTGTTTAGGTGAGTTACATCTGAGTTACACCTCTAATGGAGTTGGGGAGTGGTGGAAGTGGCCCAGACTGTGAGAGATGATGAGTTCAGGTTTGCATGTATTTAATTTGGGTTGTCATTGGACAACCAGGTTATGATTTTCAGCAGGCAGTTGCAAATGTGATACTGAGACTTGAGAGATTTCAAGTCTTGATGTGTCATCTGCAAAGAAGTGCTAGTTAAAACCATGAGATTACTTAGAAAAAAGTAGTGTGTGGTGCTTTAAAAAATTTTTTTTAACACCGAGAAGAAAACTTTGGAGAAGACCTTAATTTAGGGAGTGAGTGGGAAAAAAACCTGCCAATGAAGCAGACAGAAAAGATTTACTTGGGTAAGAAGGGAGTGAGTTCACTACCTTGGGGAGGGCAGAGAGCTTTATGAATGGGATTATCCAAAGTTTGGGTCCTGTAGAGAAGTTCTTTAAACAAAGCCTTCCAACTGATAGCTCAGAGGCAGCTCCATCAAGATAACACAATTTGCCAAGTCAAGAAAAAGTTTATGCTTTTTTTGGCTTGGCTGTTTTGGAGAGCCATTTCTCTAAGTATACATAGAGCTCCCTTAGATTAAATTAATGGAATTTAAGAAAACAGGAGTTTTCTTTTGGGAGAACTGCATAGGAATGTTGATCACAGACAGATGACCGAAGCCTATTATTGCCCTCATAGGTCTTATTATGTTGCTACTTTATGAGCACCAAGTGAGGCTGTCATATCTAATAATTATAGTTAATCCACTTCACTGTTACAAGAGTTCTTAGAGTATATTTTAAGTATATACAAAATATTTTTTTTTTCCATATTGGTTCTTCACTTTAACAGGACCATTTACTTTTTTTAAACTTGGAATTTGGCTATAGTTGCTCTATTTTGAAGCAATAATGTTATCTCAAATGAGTTTGTTTTAGAAAATGTTACCTTACAGCACATTAAAGGAGTTTGAACAGATGTTATTCATCAAAACCACAGTGATTAATTATATTTTCCTATTTAAATAATTTTTTAAAATTCTGTACTGTGTCAGCAGTTTATAATTAAAAGTCACTTAGGGAAGGGATGGCTGGGTGGCTTAGTCCGTTAAGCATCTGACTCTTTATTTCAGCTTAGGTCATGATCTTATGGTTTGCAAAATCGAGCCCCGCATCAGGCTCTGAGCTGACACTGCAGACAGAGTGGGGCCTGCTTGGGATTCTCAGATTCTGTCTCTCCCCCTCTCTCTGCCCTGCCCTGCCCCTCTCAAATAAATAAATAAATATTAAAAAATATAGTTGGGGCACCTGGGTGGCTCAGTTTGTTAAGTGTCCAACTCTTGGTTTCGGCTCAGGTTATGATCTCATGACTCATGAGTTCAAGCCCCACAGCACAGATCCTGCTTGGGATTCTGTCTCCCTCTCTCTCTGCACTTTCCCCACTTATGCATTCTCTCTGTCTCTCTGTATCAAAAATAAATAAACCTTAAAAAAATTAAAATAGTCAATTAGGGAGAAGTTTAAAATCATTATTTAAGATTGCTTCCTTTTTTTTATTTCTATGACTGTAAACATTGTAATATAATACAGTTTTACTGAATTTCTAGATGAGTTGAGTGAATCTGATCAATATATTTTTATAACATTCTTCACATTTAGGTTCTAAAGACCAGACTGATTCTTGGTAAAACTGGACAGTATTCAGGGATTATTGATTGTGGCAAAAAGCTTCTGAAACAAGAAGGGGTTAGAACCTTTTTCAAAGGTTATATTCCTAACTTCCTAGGCATTCTACCTTATGCAGGCATAGATTTGGCTGTTTATGAGGTGAGTTTATTTTCACTAATATGACACTATGTTAGATTTGAAAATTTGTTATAATAATAGTCTTCATTCTAAAAATCAGATTATAATTGACTTTACATGAAATAGCTTCTGATAGAAGTTTGGTTGAATGATTTTATTGGACTTGCTTTCCAGTTAGTGATTTTAGATGTTAGTTGTCTTGTATTCTAATGATAACTTTTGTTTGACATTTCTTTGTTAATTAGGTTTTAGTGATTATAATTATAGACCTAAATGCCAATAAAATAGTGGTTCTCAACTCTAGATAGATATCAGAATCACCTGTATGTAGATCTTTAAAAAATAAGATTCTTGGGCTACATCTAAGATACTCTGATTTATCTGGGGGTATCCTAGGTTTAGGTATTTAGATATTCTATTTATTCTAGAGGGAGTCCTAGGGTTTAGGTTTTTTACTCTCTAGAAAAATCTGATGCATGGTTAAAATTGAGAAAGCTGAGATGTTACTGCCCAGTTGTGAAAATGAGAATTTAAGGAAGGAGTAATTGGGGACTCTGAGGGGTGGTGGTGAGGAGACGGGGAGAGACAGCATGGAGACAGGGCAAATATCCTAATGGTATAGTGCTTGTTGATTAGGCAGGATTCCAGGTTATTCCCCCTCTAACCAGTCATTTCATTTTTATGACCATACATGTGTTTTAGGTAGACTTGTCTTAACAATATATACCATCTGGTCAGAAGAACCAGCTGAGAGTATGTGACTAGTAGAACTGCAATTCACTATCAGTGCAGGAAGGACAGCCCTCTAGCCACAGGCCCAGTGGTATGTTTGGCAAATCATACCACCATCATACAAAAGAGAGCCAGTTTTGTTTAGCGCTTAAAAATGTACATATCTTTTATAGAAGTTTAAAGTATTGAATATGATAGCATGTATTTCTTTTCTTCTTTGTTTTCTAGTGTCTGTGATCTTATTAAATAACTTTTTTGCTCCTGTTTATGTTGGTCTCCGTCCATTCTTTTATTTTTACAGTTCAGTGTCCTTTGCTTTCTTACCAGATTGGCATTGCATATTTCTCTTTTTAGTTGCATGACTAATAAATACTCTGAGTAAAGACATTTTGAAATATACTTTTTTCAAAAGCATTAAATTATACATTTCATAATAGTTGCCTGAGTGTAATGGTAAAGCTGTATAATAAATTAACAGTTTTAAAAGTATTTAGTGATATTTAAAACTCACTATTTTAAAATAATTTCTTCTAGCCACTTTTATTCAAGGAAAAGCAAATTGGAAAGGTGAATCTTAAAAGTTCAGAAAATGTGGTTTTGTTAACCTAGAGTGGATTATGCAGTCTTCTCCACATTATTCTGTTAATCCCTCTGAGAATCTTCAGAATTTTGCTTGGGTCTTTGAGTGTCATTACAGACCAAAGCAATTAGACAAAACAAAACAAACAGAAACAAAACAAACAAAAACACACGGAGAGAGACACAGAACATAGGAAAACTCAAACTGAGGTTGTGTGAATACATTTATTTGAAACATCTGTGTTTCCTGTCCCTGATGGGAAAGTAGGGATAGCCTCCTCTATACAAGGAGTAGGAACAATCTTTTGTAAAGACTTTGGAAAGAACAGTTACTAAAACCAAGTGATTAAGGTTGACTCTCGTTTATCAGTGTTGTGACTTGATAACTTAGTTTCTCTGAATTACTTCTTCATTTATACAATTTATAAAATGGAGATGACAGTATTGACTTGTCAAGTTTCTGAAGGGTTTAAGTGAAAATCTCAAATCAAGAACTAAGACTGGATTATAGAAAAAGATGAAGGACACTTTTCTTATTAATTTTAATGTGTCGTGACGGGACCTGCTGAAGGTTTCTCAACTGGGGAAGTACTTGGAAAGTTTAAGGAAATTACCATACTGATGTAGATAAAACTTGGAGAGCACTTGAATTGGTATTAGGAGTCCTGGATTTTAGTTACACTTCCTATTTGTGAAGCCTTAGGCAAGTTGCCTCTATGAATCTTTCTTCTCATCTTCAGAAATGGGAATGATGATATCTATCTCACAGGCTCATTGTGAGGATTAAATGATGTAATGTATGTGAAAATGCACAAGAGCTAGCAAGCACTTAATAAATGTACTTGAATCTTAATGAATGTGAATATCTAGTTGGAGATTTAGATAAACAGTAAGAAGGTTGAATTATTATTTGCCCAAAGCCAAAGAGGAATACTCTAGAATAAAATCCAGAAATATATATTTCAGATATTTCCATTCTGCCTCAGCTTGGACCAGTTAAAATATGTATAGTGCTTGTTTCAACAAAGGGGGAAAAAAAAGAGAGAGAGAAATCAAGGAACAAACTAAACTATAGAGAACAAACTGATGGTTACAAGAAGGGAATTAGGTATGGGGATGAGTTAAATAGGTGAAGAGGACTAAGACTACACTTATCTTGGGGTGCCTGGGTGGCTCAGTTGGTTGAGTGGCTGACTCTTGATGTCATCCAAGGTCATGATCCCAGGGTTGTGGGATCAAGTCCTGCATCAGGTTATGCCCTGAGCGTGGAGCCTGCTTAAGTTCTCTCCCAGTCTCTCTCTCTCTCTCTCTCTCTCTCTCCCCCCCAGTGCCCTCTCCCTGGCTCATGCTCTCATTCGCTCAAAAAAAGAGAGAGAGAGAGAGAGTACATTTACCTTGATGAGCTCTGAGTAAGGTATAGAATTGTTGAATCACCATATTGTACACCTGAAACTAAGTAGCATTGTATGTTAACTATACTGGAATAAAAAAATTTTAATTTAAGAAATATGTACCTGATTCCTCAAAAAAATAAAACAAAAGCAAAAAAAGAAGCTACTTAAGGGGGTTCTGAGTGGCTCAGTTGGTTAAGCGTCCAACTCTTGATTTTGGCTCAGGTCATGATCTCATGTTTTGTGAATTTGAGCTGCAAGGGGCTCTGTGCTGATAGTTTGTAGCCTGCTTGGAATTCTCTCTCTCACCCTCTTTTTTCAGCCCCTCCCACGCATGCTCTCTCTCTCTCTCTCTCTCAAAATAAATAAATGAACATAAATATTGTAGAAGAGAAGCTACCCAGTATTTTTATTGAAATTGAGAGAGCAGCAAACTTTTTTCTACTTAGACTTGCATAATGGTTAAAGGATATTTACCACTCTCTTCTCTGTCAGCTTTTGAAGAATTATTGGCTAGAACATTATGCAGCAAATTCTGTAGACCCAGGGATGATAATTTTACTGGGATGTAGTGCACTGTCTCACACTTGTGGTCAGATAGCCAGCTTCCCTCTGAACCTAATCAGAACTCGCATGCAAGCTCAAGGTGAGTTTTTTTTCAATGAAGTAATAAGTTAAAAAGTGATTTAAGATAACTTGAATGAGGTACTAACAAAAACTAAGTTAAAAACAGTTTAAAATAACTAGGTTGTTTTAAATAAGTGGAAATTAATGATTTACATAAAAAGAAAAACTGTAGAATTGATAAATCAAAAGCAGCTTCTTTGATTTTTAAGGCACATATCTTGAATTTATTCTTTTATTATAGAGACTTTTGTCAATTTTATTTCTTCTCCACAGTTTGGTTTGGGACTTCCCACATTTCTTTCAGTTACTGATGATCGCTTTAAGGAGTTTATAATTAAAAATTTTTTTTTTTTTAATGTTTTTATTTATTTCTAGGAGAGAGAGAGACAGCGTGAGCAGGGGAGGGTCAGAGAGAGAGGGAGTCACAGACTGAAACAGGCTCCAGGCTCTGAGCTGGCAGTCAGCACAGAGCCCGACGCGGGGCCCGAACCCACGAACCGCGAGATCATGACCTAAGCGAAAGTCGGACGCTTAACCGACTAAGCCACCCAGGCGCCCCAAGGAGTTTATAATTAGAAAGTACCATGCCGAACAATAGAAAAGAGTTTTTCTTCAAATTAAGTCAACAGTTACTCAGTGCAAACATGCACTCCTCCCCTAGTTCTGCTGTCATTGTTCTATTCTGCATCAGGACCTTAATGTGTTTGTGGAAAATGAATTTATGTTGCAATCCCCTTACCAAGGAGAGATTAAGAGGAAGGGAGGTTTTCAGGGTTTTCCCCTTTCAAATGAAATGTTAGCAATTTAGATTTTAAGAAGATACCGTTATCACTTTACAAGGAGAAAAAGAAACCTTACCTAATTCTTTTATTTTTTTCCTCAGTAAATTATCTAAGGAGTCATGGGGCAAGTGATATTCTTTTACATTTGTTTTCTCCTCTTTTTGGTAAGATTTTTGGATTTAATTTAGATGGCAATCCAGGTTGGGAATCTGTCTATCCATCCCATCACCCACCCATTGCCCTATCAAACTATTTGTGTCATACTCAATTCCAGATGGTTCTTTGAGGTCCCTTTTATAGGACTTTCAAGTGCTGTCCCAAAGAACTTTCTGCAGTGATAGAAATATTTTATCTCTGTGTTGTCCAGTATAGTAGCCACTAGTCAGACACTTGAAATGTTGTTAATGCAGCGAAGAAACTGAATTTTTAGTTTTACTTAATTTTTTTCCCAGTTATTTACATTTATTTATTTTATTTATTTATTTTTTTTACAAATAGTTTATTGTCAAGTTGGTTTCCATATAACACCCAGTGCTCATCCCCACAAGTGCCCCTCTCCGTGCCCATCCCCCCTCCCCTCCCCACATCCATCAGTCCTCAGTTTTTGTCAGCATTCAAGAGTCTCTCATGGTTTGCCTCTCCCCCTTTCCCCCACTATTTCCCCCCTTCTTCTCCCTCATGGTCCTCCATTAAGTTCCTTCTAATCCTCCTATACGTGCAAACATATGATATTTGTCCTTCTCTGCCTGACTTATTTCGCTCAGCATAACACCCTCAAGGTCCATCCATGTTGCTACACATGGCCAGATTTTATTCTTTCTCATTGCCATGTAGTATTCCATCGTATAGTTAAACCACATCTTCTTGATCCATTCGTCCGTGGATGGACACTTAGGCTCTTTCCATGTTTTGGCTATTGTTGAGGGTGCTGCTATGAACATTAGTTTTACTTAATTTTAATTAATTTAAATTTAAATAGACACATGTGTCTGGTGGCTACTGTACTGGATAGCACAAGACTATTCTATAGGTAGGGAGAGAGGTATAGTCTAAAGTGATTTTAGCTTCTGTAAATTCTCATTAATCATTGGACTATCTTAATGTTTAAAGATTAAATATTGAATCACACTAATTTTTTTTCATTTTATAGTACTGGAGGAAAAAGGGACGACTTCTATGATTCACCTCATTCAAGAGATATATAACAATGAAGGAAAAAGGGGATTTTTCAGGGGTCTCACCCCAAACATCATAAAGGTGCTTCCTGCAGTAATCATCAGCTGTGCAGCTTATGAAAAAACAAGACAACATATGGGATTAACGTAAAAGTGAAATATCAAATTGTTGTCATTACCCAAATCACTTAATTGTAAGATAATACCTGGGTCGTAAAGAGAAATCTGTCTTTTTCTAAAATGAAAGACATGCCAAATAATTGTTAAAACATTTTTTCTTTATCTATTACAAAATTACTTTAATGTAAAGTTCCTTAGTAATTTTAAATCCGCAATATCTACAGAAATCTATTTATGTTTTTCACTACTCTCCCTTGAATCCTAACTTTAAACTTATTTTTGTTGAGTTTGGATATACATACCAGGGTAGCATTATAAAACATTTGGTCCATTGTAGCAGTTTGTGTTAACTTTTTTCTATTTAAACAATTGTTTGAAAAGCTGAGCTTGAAAATATTTAATATACTATAAGAAAAATCACTGCATTTAGAATTGATGTTACAGCAAATGATCATGGTTTATTTCTCTTTTTTAAGCCAAAATGGAACATTGGTTTTCTAATTCCTTCATAGTTCCTTCTATCAGATGGTAGATGGAATAATGATAACACGACAATATACTTTTGACTTCTCCAGCTATTTTATTTGTAAATATAAACAGTCTTGGTTCATTTTTATTCTTGATATTTTTAGCTGTTATAAGGAGGTCAGTATTGAGAACAGGTTGGCATTGGACAAACTTTCTTTTTACCTTCTGGTTGAAAATCATTTGAGAGGAAGAATTTTAAAGATTAAGTCCATTATTTCATACTTGTTGAAGCAATTCTTATTTTAGCTTGTGAGTTGATTGAGTCAACCTTGGGAAATCCTAAATACTTCTCCCTACTTTTATGGAACAAGGAATCCTGTTCCCTGCTGGAATTGAATGAGAGTGAGGCAAGGTGACAGCAAGGGGCTGGTTGGCCACAGCAAGCTTCACTTGAAGAACTACCTCTCTAGACTGACTGAAGTCCAGGCTTGGAGACCTGGCCTTGCTGATCCCAAAATCTGACTTTATTAATTTCCTCAAGGTGATCAGTTTCTTGGTGATTAATTAAAATTACTCATGAGATTGAGAGGTATCACAATGCAAAAGTATTAGTGTATGGTGGACTTAATACTTTCCATTGACCAGAATACTTTCATCCCTTTTTCAGGGCACAGTCTGCTGGTATCAGGGTACCTGGGAAACCAAATAAGTCATAAGAAGATTGATGTGGAATAAAAAAAAAGAGAGGAATGTTTTACTCAGACCTATCCCAGTTAAGGTGGGAAGAGGTAGAAGCTTGTGTACAAGGAAGAGTGGTTGAGGAGTGAGAAAGAGGAGAGGATTGTGAAAATTTAGCTAAACTAAAGCCACAGATCACCAGAGGGGAGGAAGGCAAATCTCATGTGAAGTCCAGGAGTGGGTGTGTAAGCAACAAGTAATGGTGACAATTGTATGACTAGACTTTTACAAAACATTCCAAATCGATAAGATAGCTTGAGTAATAACCTGGAAATGATGGTGGGGTGGGCGGAGAGGGTTTGTGGAGCATTCGGGAAATCACAAGTAGCCTGGTCATTTGGAAATGTGTGGTGTATAGGAAGATACAGTGAAATATAAGGCTACTGCTGTAGGTTGATGACAGGTCATGGAGAGCTTTGAATTATATGTGATGCTGACATGCTCTGGTGTAAGAAGGTAACTTTGATAACAGAAGAAACCATTGAAAGAAGAGATAATAAAGCCAGTGAAACCAATTAGGAAATTATTTCCATAGCCATAATTAATAAATGCTGGCTTCTGAGTAATGGCTTTTCTTCAGAGTAGGTAGGTCCAATTATTGTATCAGAAGTCAAAATGCAATTTATTTTATCAAGTTCCTGCTATGTGCCAGGAGTTATTTCAGGTAACTTTTAAAGGTTGTCTTGTTTAATTCTAACAGGAAGTTGAGATTATTATTTAAAAAAATTTTTTTTCAACTTATGTAAATAGAAAAAACCAGTTCATCCCTTTCGCCCACCCCCTAGACCCTGCCTCTTGGAACCAGTAATCTATTTTCTGTATCTATAAGCTTGTGTGTGTGTGTTTAGATTCCACATATAAGAGAGATCATACAGTATTTGTCTTTGTCTTGCTTATTTCACTTAGCATAATGCCCTCAAGGACCATCCGTATTGTCGTAGCCAGATTTCATTCTCTTTTACAGCTGAATAATATCCCATTGTATATATACACCACAATTTCTTTATCCATTCATGCACTGATTATTGTTGTTTCCATACACTTAGGTTTTTTCCGTATCTTGGATATTGTAAATAAGGCTACAGTAAACATGGGGAGTATATATCTTTTTGATTTAGTGTTTTTGTTTTCTTTGGATAAATACCCAGAAGTGGAATTGCTAGATTATATGGGGTAGTTCTACTTTTAATTTTTTGAGGAACTTTTCATAGAGGTTACACCAACTTACAGTCCCACTAACAGTGCATATAGTTCCCTTTTCTTTAAACCTCAAGAAAACTTGCTATTTCTTATCTTTTTGATGTTAGCCATTCTGACAGGTGTGAAGTGGTATCTCATTGTGGTTTTGATTTACATTTTCCTGACGATTAATGATGTTGAGTGTCTTTCACATACTTAGTGGACATCTACATGTCTTCTTTGGAAAAATGTCTATTCAGATCTTCTGCCCCTTTTTTAATTGGACTTTAAAAAAATTTTTTTGCTGTTGAGTTGTATGGTTTCTTTATATATTTTGGATATTAACCCAGTATCAGGTATATGGTTTACAATTATTTTTCCATATTAAATAAGTCACCTTTTCTTTTTTTAATGATTTCCTTTGCTGTGAAGAAACTTAAAATTTTTTTTAAGTTTTTATTTAAATTCCAATTAGTTAATATACAGTGTAATACTAGTTTCAGATGTACAATTTATTTTATTTATTTATTTCCTTTTTTCAAAATTTTATTTAAATTCTAGTTAGTTAACATACAGTGCAGTATTGGTTTCAGGAGTAAAATTCATTGATTCATCACTTACATACAACATCCAGTGCTCATCATAACAACTGCTTTCCTTTGTTCCCATCACCCATCTAGCTCATCTCCAACACACTTTCCTCCATCAACCCTCAGTTTGTTCTCTAACTTTAAGAGTCTTTCATGGTTTGTTTCCCTGTCTCTTTTCCCCTCCCTCCCATATCAGATGTACAATTTAGTGTTTCAGCACTTACAGGCAACGCCTGGTGTTCATCACAATCCATAATCCCCATCACCTATTTCACCTATCCTCCCACCCACCTCCCTTCTGGTAACCATCAGTTTTTTGTCTATAGTTAAGAATCTGTTTCTTGCGGGGTGCCTGGGTGGCTCAGTCAGTTGAGTGTCCGACTTTGGCTCAGGTCATGATCTCACGGCTTGTGGGTTCAAGCCCCGCGTCAGGCTCTGTGCTGACAGCTCAGAGCCTGGAGCCTGCTTCAGATTCTGTGTATCTCTCTCTCTCTCTCTCTCTTACCCTCCCCTGCTCATGCTGTCTCTCTCTTTCTCTCAGAAATAAATAAAACATTAAAATTTTTTTTTAAAAAACAATCTGTTTCTTGGTTTGTCTCTCCTCTCTCTCTCCTTCCCCTTTACTCAGTTCTTTTATTTCTTAAATTTCACATATGAGTGAAATCATATGGTAGTTGTCTTTCTCTGACTTACTTCACTTACCATTATACTCTCCATCTCCATCCATGTTGTTGCAAATGACAGGATTTTATCATTCTTTACAGCTGCATTATATATATACACCCACATCTTTATCCATTCATCCATCAATGGACATTTGGGCTGTTTCCATACTTTGGCTATTGTAGATAATGCTGCTATAAACATCAGGGTGTATATATCACTTTGAATTAGTATTTTTGTAGTTTTTGGGTAAATACCTGATAGTGCAACTGCTGGATTGTAGGGTAGTCCTATTTTTAAGTTTTTGAGGAACCTCTATGCTGTTTTCCACAATGGTTATACCTGTTTGCATTTCCACCAACAGTGCAAGAAGGTTTCCCCCTCTCCTTATCCTCGTCAACACCTTGTATTGTTTCTTTCACTGTTGATTTTAGTGATTCTGACAGGTGCGAAGTGATATCTCATTGTAGTTTTGCTTTGCATTTTCCTGATGATGAGTAATGTTGAGCATTTTTTCACGTGTCTGTGTAGAAACTTTGGTTTGATATAATCTTATTTGTTTTTGCTTTTGTTGCTTTTGCTTTTGCTGTCAGATTTAAAAAAATAACCACCAAGACCTCTTTCAAGGAGCTTACTCCTTCTGTTTTATAGTTTCTGGTCTTATATTCAAGGCTTCAATCCAGGTTGATTTAATTTTTGTGTATGGTATAAGGTAGTGGTCCAGTTTTACTCTTTTGAATATAGCTGTCCAGTTTTTCTAGCACAATTTATTGAAGAGTGTGTCCTTTCCTTGTTGTATTTTGTTGGCTCCTATGTTGTATGTTAATTGACCATATATGCATGGATTTATTTCTGGGCTCTCTAATCTATTCTTGCTATGTGTCTGTTTTTATGCTGACTGAGCCACCCAGGCGCCCCGGGAGTTGGAGTCAATCTTGAAGAAACACCAGAGATCCTGTCTGAATGCCACAGAAGAAAATAACTGGACAGTATTATAAGATCTATGGTGTCAGAAGTTCAGTTTAACACTGAAGCACCCTCTACATGGTTTTTCAGATATCATTAGAGCTTAAAGATCACCCCCCGCCCCCGTGGGTTACCTTGCAGAACTGTGATACAAACTAGTGAAATTCATAGTCTCTGGAGGGTTAGTAGCATGTTACGCCATATAACTAAGATTTTTGGATTGGTTAGAGTGGGTTATAGGAAACACTTAGTAAGATGAATTAAAAATAAAAAAGGACCACAGCAGAAGTGATGATCTGGAGACACTTGGGATTAAGTGCCTATTGAATTTTTGACCCCAAGAAATCTCTGGACTTTACTCAGAAAGGTAAAGGACTCTCCAGCAATTGCAGAGGCCTTTTAGAAATTTAGTTGCAGTCCACTGGAGCAAAACATTAAGCCCTCAGATCTCCAGGGTCCTCTTGCAGAGCACTCATTTCTCTAGCTGCATGCAAAGCCTGTGTTCCTGAAGCCACACAGAACTTCTGGATATTCTCACTGCCCAGACTG